CTCAGAATGGGCCCCACTTGGTGCTGTGGGATTTGGAGTCACATACAAATTGGCATTGCCTGTCCTTCCATTAAAAATCATTTGAAGGGGGCCGGCCCGGTGGCGCACTGCTGTAGTGCGCCGCTTGGGAAGCGTGGCGGCGCTCCCGCTGAGGGTTCGGATCCCACATACAGACCGGTTCCTGCTCACTGGCTGAGCGCGGTGCAGGAGCAACACCGAGGGGTGCGATCCCGTTGCCGGTCCCGGCCCGGTACAGGCGCGACACTGAGGGTTGCGATCCGTTGCCGGACACGGAAAAAGACAAAAAAAAAAAAAAAATCATTTGAAGGGGCCGGCCCGGTGGCCACCTGCTACAGTGCGCCGCTTGGGAGTGCGGTGGCGCTCCCGCCGAGGGTTCGGATCCCACATACAGACCGGTTCCTGCTCACTGGCTGAGCGCGGTGCAGGAGCAACACCGAGGGGTGCGATCCCGTTGCCGGTCCCGGCCCGGTACAGGCGCGACACTGAGGGTTGCGATCCGTTGCCGGACACGGAAAAAGACAAAAAAAAAAAAAAAATCATTTGAAGGGGCCGGCCCGGTGGCCACCTGCTACAGTGCGCCGCTTGGGAGTGCGGTGGCGCTCCCGCCGAGGGTTCGGATCCCACATACAGACCGGTTCCTGCTCACTGGCTGAGCGCGGTGCAGGAGCAACACCGAGGGGTGCGATCCCGTTGCCGGTCCCGGCCCGGTACAGGCGCGACACTGAGGGTTGCGATCCGTTGCCGGACACGAAAAAAGACAAAAAAAAAGGAAAAAATCATTTGAGGGCTGGCTGGTTAGTTCAGCTGGTTAGAGCACAGCCTTATAACACCAAGGGCAAGGGTTCAGACCCCCCACACCTCCCCACAAAAAAAATCTAGGTTTCTGTTTGGGTGCCCTGTTAGCACTCACTCAGGCTCCTCCTCACCCTCACTGGCTACCATTCTGTCCTCACATGCCCTTAGTAGTTTGCTCTCTGTGTCCCAACCAACCTCACAAGTGAACTCAGTGTCTCTTGGACAAACCCAAATGTTAACAAACATATTGTGTGTGACGGAGCTCAGAACCAGTGCCTGGAGAATACTACTTTGGACAAGTCTCTCTGTTAAAGTGATCTTTTATCCTTATCTTTTTTTTGTTTTTTTCCCGAATCAATTTCCCATTTATAAAACAGTTTCCCAGGGGTCCTGGTAACTCTGGAATTATCATATAGCTTTCTGATCAAATGTAATTCATTGCTAAAGCTGGAGAGGAAGTGAAGAGTGACTTAATGAAGAGAAGATAAACAGTCCCCCCACTGAGATCTGGGGGCAGGGTGAGATGGAAACTAGTTGATATGGGAGGACAAGAAGCTTCTGTTAAGTTTAATAAAGGAGCCCAAGACTGGTGGGCCTCCCAGTGTTGGAAGCAAAGACTGTGCCCTGACAGCTCCTGGTCTCTCCTGGGGAGGTGGCCAGGCACACAGGGGTGCTAAAATGGCCTCTTGGTGGAGAGGGAACTGAAGGATCTCAGGGCACAGGGCCTGGGAAGACTATTTTAGTGGCTGTGGGAGCAGATCAGACCAAAGAGAGCAGCAGGAAATGCAGAGAAAAGGCTTTTTTCTTTTTTAACCCCCTAATAGTCCTAATCTTAATTTATTTTCTAAACTAGATGAACATTTGGACTGATCCCAGGGAGAAAACTAACTAGGAAAGAGGTAAGTTACCTAGTTGCGAGGTGACCAAATCCAGCATCTAAAGGAGCACCAGGACCTTCTCCTGAGAGCAGGACTTGGCACTTCTGGGAGAGCAAGAGGCTGGCCCAAGGGGGAGAGCGAGTTCTGGTTTCTGGAAAGGCCTGGAGAAGCAGTCCTGGGCCTGTACCTACAGCACCTACTCAGGGTGGGCTGAGGGCTGGCATCCTGCCAGGTCTCACCCTTCCAGAACTGCAGGAAGTGACTGGATTGCAATGAGTGAACTCAGCCAAAATGGCCTCGTTTTCTTTGGGTATTAAGGTTGATCATGAGCCCCACCCGTTCTCCCTGGGATCTCTTGCTGACCAGCTATGGAAGGGTCTCTAGACCATTAGTAAAGACAGACCACAGATTCCTGGAGACCTCTGCAAAGATACCTGGTCCACCTCCTTTATCCATGGGATGAGGAGACTGTACCTGGGACGGGGAGGGATTTAAACCACCAGTTCAGCCAGCTCCAGGGCTCTGGATACACAGCAAGAACTTTTTCCTCTGTCAAGCTGCCACAGAATTCAAATGGCCTAACCCAAGTCTCTACCTTGGATTGGGGATCAGCACCCCAGAACAATACCCTGTATCTTGATTTCTGTGGCTCTTTCCTCTCTTGACATTTATATTATAAATAAAAGTAGACTAACACTGTACTGATGACTTTTGGGTGTTTTTGTGATGCCTGTGATGACATCTCCCTAGGTTGTTCTAGAATTCTGGTGGGAGTCTCTGCTTAGCTTGGGAGGGAAATGACTACCTCTCAACAACAGGCAGATGAATGGAACTGGGTCTATGGTCCCGTAAGGCAGAATCTTTCTGGGCTGTAGTCAACAAAAAGCCAGAGAGGCACTTAACCAAGGCAAAAGCTGAAGCTGAACTTGGGGAAACTCACTGGGCCCACTGGCAACAGAGGGGCGGGTGAGCATTCTCGTCCAAAATATACAATCTTTGGTGGAGACTTACACACTAGAAGATCCCACAGCTAAAGGTTCTAAAAGGCAAGAGTCTACTCCTTGAAAGGCTCGTGTATTCATTCTCTCCATCATGTCTCTAATTCAGACCCTAATCAAAGGTTGTTTAACTAGTCTCTGCCTTTAGTACCTCCTCATGCTAACCAGACCTGTCTTCACATAACAATTGGGGGCTTTCTAAATAGTTTGGACCATGTCACTCCCTTGCCTAAAACTCTCCATGCACTCTACTGTCTACAGGATAAAGTTCTAATACCCTGGCAAGGTCTATGAGGTACGGCACCACCTGGCTCTTGCCCATCTCCCTGGCTTTGCCTCTTGCCACTTTCTGGGTTGCAGGTTTACTGGCAGTCATAGCAGTCTACCAACCTGCAGTTTAGAACACATCACCTTGTTACACATTCACATGCTTCTGTGGTTTTTACAAGCTGTTCCTTCCTCTTTCCCAGTCTGGAAGACTCCTGCTAATCCTTCAATACCCAGCTCAAGTGTAGCTTTCTCTGATGCCTCTGTGCAGTCAGCTCTCTCTCCTGTGCTGCCTCCCTGTAACTCACACACAGGACTCTTATTGCATATCAGGCCGCACTGGAATTATTTCCTTACTATCCTGTTTTATTCGATTGTATTTATTGGAACATATCAGTTGCTGGACAGAAATCCCTTAACAAAAATTTTTTTGACACATGTTCTTAATGAAGAAGGGCGATTTATAAACTTGTACGGCTACACAGGGAACACCCTGCTCGGGTTTTGAAAGGATGCAGTCAACAAATTTGTATTTATTGGAACATATCAGTTGCTGGACAGAAATCCCTTAACAAAAATTTTTTTGACATATGTTCTTAATGAAGAAGGGCGATTTATAAACTTGTACGGCTACACAGGGAACACCCTGCTCGGGTTTTGAAAGGATGCAGTCAACAAACGGCCAGAGAGGCACTTAACCAAGGCAATAACAAAAGAATAACAATCTACAAGCAGGTCAGAGAGGTGAACACATATAGCAATGGGAAGACTCTCTCCCTTTTATAGGCAGCCAAGGTCCTGAGAGGTAATGTGACTTGTCCAAGGTCACCCAGTCAAGGTAGCAGCAGAGCTGAGAACACTAGGTGGCTATTTGCCCCACTCCTCCTATGGTCCTCATCAGTGGTCAGAGCTCTGGCCTCCTTGAGTGCTGTATGCTTGTTAAACTACACAGAGACCTTAGGACAAAATGAAAGTAAAAGGGACCACTTGGCAAAGCCCTAAATCTCTACCTTGAGGGCAAATTCACAGCAGGACAGGTGCCTCAGGACTAACTCAGCACCAGAGATCCCCCAGGCTTGCTCTCAGTGGGGCAGGCACTGATCAGTTCACTAAAATGCAGACTGTTTAAATTAGACTGTACTTTAGAAGTCTGTCATGTCAGTTCTAATATCATGTAGGCCAAACTTCCACCAATCAGGGCTCCCTTACTTAGAACGGGAGGCCACAGCTAAGACATCTCCCACGACCCTGCAGACTCAGAAAGAAAGTGGAGATCCTTCCCTACCTCAGACATGACCAGGACTACACAGCAAAGGCCTCTCCAATACTCTCCAAAGAACACCCATCTCAAGGGGCCTGGGAGGATATCTACTGTCAACATAGAAGTTTCTCCAGGTATCCTGTTTTGATTTAAAATTGAAACCAACCCCCGAAGAGTTAACCTCCCCCAACTTAAGCATGACTCAGTCTTAAAGTTGTTTTCTCATGAAGTGAAGAGACCTCCATTTGGAGCAGACAAAACTGGTTGTAACCAGCTCTACCCCCTCACCTGGAGACTGTGCCTGCACCAGTGAGGAGTAGGTGAACTTCTGACATCAGAGGGCCAAAAACTCCTCCCATAATCATGCTAACCACCACCTTTTTCTGCATATGTGACTGGTGAAGAGGCAGGCACGGATCTTGCTTGTGCCTGTGCGGATGAATAAAGGACTTCCTCAAAACTTCTAATCACCCCCCACGCCCTACACCACCCCTCACCAATCTCCCATAAATATCCCTTCACTTAGGCACGGATCTTGCTTGTGCCTGTGCGGATGAATAAAGGACTTCCTCAAAACTTCTAATCATCCCCCACGCCCTACACCACCCCTCACCAATCTCCCATAAATATCCCTTCACTCGCCACTGGGGAGGCAGATTTGAGAAAGATTTCTTCTGTCTCCATAGTCGGCAGCTGGCAATAAAGCTTTTCTCTTCTGCAAAACCCGTGTCTCAGCGTTTGCTGCACAGTGCGCAAATGAACCCCAGTTCAGTTACATAATCAATGTGAATTGTACATTTTACTGCGTGGTGCTGTGTTTTAACAACACATTTCATTTCTCCTCTTTTGAGCAAAACTGATGCTTTGAGCCGTGCCTTAGCTGGGACTGCAGTCCTACCCCTGGTTGACAGCACAGCCTTACAGACACTCCACAGCACATAGGCAGTTTACAAGCACCTTCATATCTATTGTGTTACATAATTCTCACGCCTACCCTGTGAGACGGAGGCTGGTTTTCCCATTGTAGACATGTAAAGACCCAAAGCTCCCAGAGGTAAAGTGATTGGCCTGAGTTGGTGGCAGGTCTGATGGGGCATTCCCCTTCCCATGCTCTGCCACCCCTCACCACCTAACTCCCATTATAATTCCCCCCAACCCTTCAAACACCAAAATCAACAGTCCCCCAAGGCAGCACTCAAATAAGGGTCAAATGCTTTCCTAATGCCCTCTTAGACGGTTTGCACAGTTTAGCACACAGGTGGGGTAGCCCATAGCAGGTGAGCAGTCCTGTACTTTGCTACACTGTCTGTGGCAGAATGGGATGGGCAAGGACTGAGAACTAGAAAATCCAGCTTTGCCTGTAACTGGCTGTGTGACCCTGGGGAAGCTCCTCTCTGGGCTTTAGCTTCTCCATTTGAACAATGAATGAGGACTAGGCGATTTCTGTGCTTTTGGTACATTAGAGCTTTTCCATCCCAACATTCTAGACTACCCCCAGGCAACATCTTGTGCTGCAGAATCAGGCGGCTGCATGGCCTGGGGCTCCCCCATGTCCTCGGCCAGAGCTCACAGCTGGAGACCCCTCTCGACAAACAATTTATAACTCTGGGCCTCAGTTTCCTCATCTTTAAAATAGAAGGTAAAGAGTTCATAAAGCAATTATCAAGGGCTGCCTAGAATTCCCCTTGGAATCTCTCCCAGGCAGGGAGGCCTTGGGGGGGTGTGACCAAGACACTACAGACAGGCATGGGGAGGAGGGGCATTTCCAATAAATGGGCTGTTCCTCTTTCCTAGGGTTGGTCAAAATCACAGGACCACAGGATGCTGGGGCCAGAAGGCACCAAAGGCCATGGCAGCGACACCTACTTTCCAGAGCACTGCATCAAGGCCCAGAGTGACTACGTAATGTACTGGGGAGCATACATTGAGTGTATGGCAGAGTCTGGGCTGAAACCCAGGTTTCCAGACAGGGTCAGGGAATATCTTACAAGTTTTAGAAAATACAGTGATTAGTTCTGGTTTGAACTTGCTCACTGCTTCCCTTCTTTGGAGAACCAAATCTAGCATATGACTCATAAGCCAGATAATCTATTGTGATGATCTAGTTTATGATTCAGAAATGCTAGGGTTGTAAATTTCTGCAATTCAACTTCATGATTTAGCTCTAGTGTTGCAGGAGGGGATCAGAGGGTTGGGTCACGACACCACACTCAGGCCTGTGGGGGCTGGGCAACATCACCTTGCAGGTGGTGGTGAGGAAAGAGGACTTGGGTGTCACATCATCTTCTGTGGCAGCAGCTGCTCTGGGAGTCTGTAGGGAGAGGACAGGGCACTCAAGGCCCACCAACCTGTGTGGGCTCGCCCAGGGGTGGAGAAGGAGCACCCGGGTGGCAGCAGAGGCCCCAAGGGAGGCTCAGCTAGTATCGTTGATGGGAGTCCGGGAGCCACTCAGCAGTCCCTGGCGTTCGCCCTCCTCTCCTGGGGACTGTCGCCTGGATAGGCAGGTCAGCAGTGGGCGGTGCAGCCCGTTGTACAGGGCGGTACCCATCAGGAGGATGAGGAAGCCCAGGATCTGCAGTGGGTGGAAGGCTTCCCAGCCCAGCGCCAGGCTCAGTGCCCAGATGACTACGGTACGCAAGCTGTCCAGCACCATGCGGGTGGTGGCGCTCAGTTCTTTGGTGACGCTGATGCCCGCAAAGTTGAAGAAGGCGATGCTGCTGATGTTGCCCAGCAGTGCCAGGGCGATAAGCGGCTGCCCACCATGCGGGTGGTGGCGCTCAGTTCTTTGGTGACGCTGATGCCCGCAAAGTTGAAGAAGGAGATGCTGCTGATGTTGCCCAGCAGTGCCAGGGCGATAAGCGGCTGCCGGCCCACCTGGCAGAAGGCGTCCAGTGCGTCCTCCAGCGTCCCTCGAGGGTTCCCACTGAAGGAGCCGGCAGGGATGTAGTACATGGGCACCAGCAGAAGGGAGAGGATCACGAAGCCAAAGAGGCCTAGGGGTGTGGGGGAGGCACGTCATGTCCTCCACCTGCCCCCACACTCCCAGCACGGCCCCCCAGCACTGCCACCTCTGCTCCCCGGGCCACCCCTTCCTGGCTGCCCTCACACCAGCTCCTTCCTTCAGTTCCCATGGCCCTCTCCTGGAACCTGTCCCTCCACCTCTCATCAGGAACTCACAGCCTATTACATGGGCCTTAGCTGCCCCTTCTCCTTACCCCAGTATTTTGACTGGACTGAGAGTGAGAAATACATTTTGTATCATGACCCAGTATACGTGTGCACAGGCATGTGCACACACATACAAATAGCTGCCCTTATTACGTACAGGTTCTGACATTTAAAAATTCTGTTCACTTAAAATAGAACTGCTGGCTGCAACTCATTATATTGCTTTCACAGGTCTGGACAAACACAGTTCTCTAACTCAGTGAGCTGTTGGTCTGCGACAAGGAGCTTGCACCAGCATGTAAGGCAATGCGCTGCTTCATTCATAAAGTCTGGCTGGAAAGTGAAAACGAGCAAAACAGTGTGCTTCGTGATGTAGCCGATTTAGTTTCTTTTTGATTTTGGCTGCTGGCTGGTACAGGGATTGAACCCTGGACTGTGGTGTTACCAGCACTTCGTTGATGTACATTCTGCCATAAGCTCCTTAGCTCTCACTGTGGGCCAGGAAAACACAGTTCTCTAACTCAGTGAGCTGTTGGTCTGCGACAAGGAGCTTGCACCAGCATGTAAAGCAATGCGCTGCTTCATTCATAAAGTCTGGCTGGAAAGTGAAAACGAGCAAAACAGTGTGCTTCGTGATGTAGCCGATTTAGTTGATTTAGATTCTTTTTGATTTTGGCTGCTGGCTGGTACAGGGATTGAACCCTGGACTGTGGTGTTACCAGCACTTCGTTGATGTACCTTCTGCCATAAGCTCCTTAGCTCTCACTGTGGGCCAGGAACAAACAGCTCCCTGACAGGCACTAGTCCACAGGCCACTCTTTGGTAGCACAGCTCTAACCCCTCTTGCTAATCTTGTACATTTTTTTTTTTTTTGGCTGCACGTGGAGCTTTGCTTCTGATATGTACAGGTATACACAGTTTATTAATCTTGTACTTTTAAAGCATGATTTTGAAAGTTACTTCCCTGCTCAAAAACCTTCAGAGGTTCCTCCCTGTCATTTAAAGTCTAAATCTATTTGCCTAATGTCAAGGTTCTCCATGATGATATGACCCTGACCTACTTAATTCCCGATTATTTCCCCAACATCAAAACGATATTGCACTCAAATTATTCCTCACTGGTTTCTAAATTCATGTCCATCTCCCCATGCCTTTGCTCTGTCTGGCGGTCCCTCCTCCCCACTCTCACCTGCTGACATCTTCAGCTCGAATACCACCTTCCCTACCCTGAGAAACTCAGCTATGCTCGGCAAATGAGACACCACTTAGGCACAGGTGGTCGAAGCTCAAACACACTGTCCGGCCCTTTCTTCCTGCTGGTCACCTCCTTGAGAGTGGGGCTTGTATCTCATTCATTTTTGTCTCCCCACCCCTCCCCCCACTCCTGGCACAGCAGACGTCAGAAGATTTGTCAACACATACCTGCTGAAGGAAAAGGGTGTGCGGGCAGGAGCTCACCCCTCCCAGTGGTCTCTGGCACCCTGCCCTATGCTCCACTTGTGCAGTTCACCTCACATGCTACCCTCCAGCACATCCCCTCCTCTCCAGCCCCCTCCTCCCAGGTCCCAGGGCCTACACACCTTCAGTGCCAACTGCCCGTAGTGGATGCACATTGTGTTTGTAGACGAACTTCTCTTCCAGCACCATCTGGATGGCGACGATGATCTGGGCCATGATGATCAACAGGTCCCCTGTAGGAAAGGAGGGGCCAAGGTGAGGCCAGGGCTACACTGGGGCTGGGGGGTAGATGGGACAGAACAACACGCCAACCTCTAACCTTTCCAGGGCCTCATATGGTTCATAAGGCACAATCTCGACTGTCTGTGCCTGATCCCCTGGCCCTTCAGTGGCAGGCCAGCAGGGCAAGGCTAAGGATACAGAAGGTCCAGAGACCTGTGTGAGTCTGAGAGCTGCACCACAGGGTATGCTGGTCTTTTAAGAAGCAACAGGCTTTGAGACAGACATTTCTGGCTATCTAATCCTGGCTCTGAGTGACCCAGGATGGTCACTCCATTGTAAATTGGGCTTCAATGACTGTGAGGGTTACCAAGATGGGCACTTGGTAAGTGCTCAATAAGCATTTGTTCCTTTCCTCTCTCAAATCCAGCAGTTTTATGTGTGTACAGTATACATCACACAGGCCAGGACAGCCTCTCCTCTGACTTCCTTTCTCACACTGCTTGCCACTCTCTTCTTTGGGGCAGCCACATCCCTCTCCAGTCTCCCCTACACTCTGTCTCCTTGAGAGCAGGTGCATGCCCTCGCCAGGGGCTTGGCATACAGCAGAGCTGGCACAAGTCTGTGGAATGATTCTGGGCTAGGCTCCCAGGAGGACAGGACAGGAGAAGGCAGCCTGGGTCCCCACCCCCAGCTGCACCTGTGATCACTTCGCTGAGCTTGTGCTGATCATCGTGCTTGCTCAGGAGGTCGGCCAGGCCCACTACTACCAGCCCTGCGATGGTGGCCAGGATGCCCAGCCACTGGCTCAGCACCAACCTCCGGCCCAGGAAGGCCACCGAGAACAGGCCCGTGAATATGATCACTGCACCCCGCAGCATCTGGAAGCTGGACGCACTGGTCATGTTCAGGGCTAGGAGAGAAGAGACACATGTTAGCGTCTGAGTGAGAAGGCTGTGTGTCACTGAGGGGTCCTCATAGCTAGGGACATGCCAAGCACATAGCAAGTGCACAATAAATCTTGCTTGCGTGTGTGTGTGAAGTCTATGGGAGAGTGGCAGTGTAGGGGTGGTGGTGGCTGTTTCCCCAGTGGCCCCCTCAGGCCATAGCCTTCACTGAGCTCTTCTCAACCTGGCCTGCTGCTGTGGTATGAATGTCCCCCCAAGCTCATACTGGAGCTTGACCCCCATCGTAACAGAGTTAAGAGGGAGGGAAATCCAACTATGGTATTTGAAAGGTGGGGCCTTTGGGAGGTGATTGGACCATGAGGACTCTGTCCTCATGAATATGTTAATCCTTTTGCCCAGCCCTCATTATGTGATATACTGTGTTACCACAGGACTCTGTAGAGTTCCCACCAAGGAAGCCCTCACCAGATGTGTTCCCTGGACCCTAGACTTCCCAGGCTCCAAAACTGTAAGAAATAAATTTCATTTTCTTAAATTACCCAGTTTCAGGTACTCTGTTGTCAGCAACAGAAAACAGACTAATACACCTGACTACTCACCCACATACATAAGGCTTGTCCCTGTCATGTCACAGAGGGCTGGGGGCAGGAAAAGAAGTGGGTTGAAGGGCTGCTGGGGGTCCATGTTGGAGTCTGACTGCCCTGTGGCTCTGCACCGGAGGAGGTAGAAGGCAGCCAGGCAGGAGAACTCTCCCAGGAACATGCCTACTGCCTGCAGGGACAAAAACCAAAGGCCTTTAGAGCTGGAAGGGACCTAGAGGATCACTTTTAACAATTTTTTGTTTGTTTTTTAACAAACCTCTCTTCAAATAAGACCTTAGATAGAAGCCAACCTGCAAAACAGACAAAAGTAGAACTGCTGGGGCAGGCCAGAGACTGCCTCCTAGGTTAGCCCCAAAGCCCCAAAACATCTCAGGGGAAACCCCAAGGCTGTGTAGAGCCCTGTCTGAAAACCACTGATCCAGACAAACCCCTAGCCAAGCTGCAGGTGGAATACCTAAGCCCAGAGAGGGTCCAAGACTTATGTAAGGCAACAGAGCAAGCTGCTGGCAGAGGCTGATGTTTTAGTCAGTCTTCCAATTCCCAGTCTAGCAACAGAGTGTCTTCTATTTATGGTTTCTGCCCTGTTCCAGTTGGGGTCTGGGCTCCCAGTGGATGGAGAGCAGGCTTTTGCCACTGGGGTTGATGTTTTCCACCTGTCCTGACTTGGACGTGGTAAGGACATGACTGCTCGCCAGGACTTGTGCAGGCCTCTCACAGAGGACTGTATCCTCTGCCCCCTCTAAACCCTGACTTCGGTTTTGAGGAGGAAGACCCTGGCTTCTATTCTGGGGAGAGACAGACAGAAGCAGATGGCTCTTCTGGGAGCAGGTGATGGTCCACTCCTAGGTCAGGAAAATAGCCCAGCTTCATGGGTGCACCTGTTTTGGAGCCTGGGAGACAGGAGGTAGGGAGGGACAGGGCCAGATACCTGGAGGAAGGGATGCTGGAAGCTGTGCTCCTTGCTCCCTCCACAGCCCTTGGCCGTGAAGTTGTCCGCCCACCTGCAGCAGAGAGAGGCAAGGTCAGACCTGGCAGCATGGCAGAGCTTTCTACCCCACCTTGGTACTCACGGAGAGGCTCACTCCTCCGTGCCAGGAGGCCCAGGGTTGGGTGACACGGCCCCAGAGTGGGGCTCCCTCTCAAAGAGGCCAGTTTCCACAGCAAGGGGTTTTCACCTGGCATTTCCTCAAATTATGGGATTGCAGTACTGTGCCTTTGTAACACGTAGAAATCACAGATATTCTCATCACCACATCAGTCACTGCATACATCATTTATACTCGTCACTCATCAAAATTACAATAATTAGACCCACTTACAATTTAATGTACTGAGGCATATATTTATTACTACATCACACATTTGCTAAATATCTGAGAACTTTACTTCAATCTAATTGGTTTCTTTTGCAATCCTTGGTCTTTTACTTGCACATTTTAAAACACTATTCTAAGAAGGGGTTCATAGGCTACATTAGATTGTCAAGGGGATCCATGGCACAAAAAATATTAAGAGCCTGTGGTCTACAGGGGTACTTAGAACCTGGGAAATGACCACCTGATCATCTTCATACAACCTGAATGGTTTGGAAGATCTTTCTAATGCTGACTCTAAAGCAGGTGGCACGTACGTCACACTGGTGGAGTGACCTCCCAGTTGGCACCTGGCAGATGGCACTAACTGCTGATGCACGCCGCCCCACTGAGCCCAGAGGCCCAGAATCCCTTGCGGCACAGTACTCTGGGCAGCTACCACCAGTCACACGGAATTGGCTGCCATCTGTGCACAAAAGCTCCTTCTCCTGAATTTCACTTTTGCTGGGCTTACTTATGTCTCTGGATTCTAGTGTAATCTTTCATCTGAAAGCCCTTCAGATATTTGGAGACTTTCTGACCTTCTTCTGAATCTTTTCTTCTCCTGGCTAAACAGCCCCAGCCCTTCCTGACCTTTCATTCCCTTGGTTGCTGCCTCCTGGAAGCACTCCGGTGGGCCCAGGCCCAGAGCCAAGAGCACGTGATTTGGCCCAGACTCATATTGGCAAGACGCGACGCTTCCCTCATGTTGGACATCCTGGGTTAGTTGACACAGCTCCAACTGCACCAGCCACATCACATGCTGACCCAAGTCCATGTGGACCCAGAACTGTTTCCTGTGGGCCACTGACCTGCTCCCACAGTAGCACTCCACACATAGGCAGTGGATGTCTCCAAAGTGGAAGACTCAGGACTTGTTTCTGTTAAATGTCTTTCCTTGAAATGTATTTCCAGAGTGGCCACATTGTGGCACACAGCCCTAAACTACTGGCTCAACTGTAAAAAGCCTCAGCTCCCAAAGGAGTCCCAAAAGGTTCCTATGTCTTCCCCACAGTGTCACCCAGCATGGGCCACTGGTGGTGCTGCATTTATGGTCTGGGTTTGACACAAAGATCCTGTCCAACCTTGGCTTTCTGTGCCCCTGAGTTTGGGGAGGAAACAGGGAGCTCTTTACCACAGCCCAGGCAAGGGCGTGATGCTTGGACATGGGCAGTGGGGAGGACCCGCTCCTGGCCAACCGTGAGGGTAGCACACACCTCTGAGGGAGTGACCACGTCTACTCAGAGATATGAACACACCACAGGGAAAGCGAAGAAAACAGGACTATGGCAAACCTGTCTCCCAGTGGGAGAACCCCCATTCCTGGAGATGTGAAGAAAGATGGGCAATTAGGAGGGCGTGTAGTTCTAGGGAATGGTGAAGTCAAAGGAGAGTTGACGGGAGGGCAGAAGTTCTGATGACTGGTTAGAAGGCACAGAGAAACCTGGGGCCCTGCACGGGTCAGGGGAACACACGGTAACCAGTCCCAGTGCCAATGGCACAAGGAAAGTCCCCGCTACAGAAAAGAAACTGCCTGCTCTCTGGGGTCTCCTTTCTGCCTGATCTGCTGCAGGTTCTGGCTCTTGGATCCCCATGCAGGACAGGACATGGGATGTGGGTGTGCCACCGACCAACTTTCTGGCTCACTCAGGCAGACCTGCTCTCGAACCCAGGCCTCTTACAGAAACAGCCCTCCGGGAAGGCCTCAGTGAAGCAACTGAGCAAAACAGGAGAAGGAAGAGGTCAGGCTTCACCAAGGGCCCAGAGCCAACTGCCCCAGAGCCAGTGAGCAGGTCAGAGATGGGAATTACCAGGGCTGAAGCCAGGGTTCCTCTCAGGGGGCAGGGCAAGGACTATTTTTGGAGGTGGGTGGCAGGTATGGAAGCCACTTCCTCATCCTGGTGTCACACCCAAACCATACACTGGCAGGCTCAAGAAGTACCCCCAGACCTAGTAGTGGTGCCACCACCCAGAACTCACTCTGGGCTACTGCTTGCAGCTTATAGTAAAGACAAGTCACATTCTGGTTCCACATTCACTGTCATCTGAGAGTCAGCTCAGCATCCAGCTTCTTCCACACCTCAGGCCCTGATCCTGGAACATCACTATACAGAAGCTCAAACATTTTAGCTGAATGAATGACACCTCCAGACCCCATCTAGTAAATAGGCCAGGTACTGCAGTCTCCAGGAAACCTACAGCCCACCCAGGTCTGCAGTACCCCATGCCGGTGGAACAACCTGGGCCAAAGCAGAAACCCCTCTGGGGCCTGTCCTTCCCAGGGTTGGGGAACTTTGTGCGGAGGTGGCGGTAGGGCTGTGCTAAGCTTCCTCCCCTCCTCAGGGGTTGTCTTTACTTTCTCTACCCAGTAGGTCTGTTGGGTGCCTGGACAGGTCCAGCTGGCGGGGTTCCTGCTGGGAAAATGAAACCTCTTTGTATCTCAGAGCCTAGGGAAGGCTCGCAGCCCAGGGGATTGGGTGTCAGCAGCACAGGCTGCCCTGCCCAGCCCTGTCTCTTTAGGCCAGGGAGGCTCAGGCCTGCAGGCACCTTGGGACACGAAGTCAGGTTTCTCATCCTGGCCTGGAAACTGGTCTTGGCTTATTGTGCAGGATCAGAAGCATCCCAGGTCTGCCCGTCCTTAACTGCTGTTAACCCAAGAGCCAAAATCCAGCCCCAGCTTATCTGGGGATGGTAGCAATGACCCTAAGGTGGAACAGCACTCTGCTGTTTGTCAATGCTTTATAAACATGTTTTTTTTTTTTTAAATTCACAATTCATTGAGTGCTGACTTTGTGCCAAGCACTTCACGCGGGCTGTCCCATTTCAGCCTCATGATAAGGATTCTCTTTTTACAGATGGGGTCTCCAAGGCTCAGGGTGGAGACAGCTGTTCAGGCTCATACAGTTAGCAACAGTTAAGGATGGATAGACCTAGAGCCAAACTCAGCCTGCCTGAACTTACACACAGAAGAGGCAGCAGAACACAGAGCAAGCTCAGATATTTGAGTCACACAGGCCGATCAAGTTATAGGGATAATCATGCCAACACTGACGAACTGTCAAAAGTAATACATGATATTGATATTAGATACATAAGACCTGGCACGTGGCAGGTATTCAACAAAAATCATTTTCTGCCCCTTCTCCTTCTTCCCCTCACTGAGCAGGAGCCCTTTCCCCTTGTGTTGGCCCCAGCTCTGCTCCAGCCTGAAAGCTTCTGAAAGCTCATCCATTCTCTGGAACCTGCCCTGCTGGCAGAGGCGGCTGGGAGACCTTGGGCTACTGCCCCTGCAGTTGCACAGAACCACAAAATGCCAAAATAGAAGGAAGTCAGCCATCATCTCATGAAACTCCTTTTTTGACAGATGAGGAACCAAGGGCCCAGAGAGAGCTTGTGGGACACAGGGCTGCTCAGGTACTGAGACAGGGCCAGTATCCGGAAATCTCGACATCCAGGTCTATGCCCCTTCCCCAACACTTTGAATTTCTCCTAAGACCTTATTGCAGATTCTTCCCCCTCCCCTGGTTGGGGTGAGGAGAGGATCAGCCCTGCAGATGGGTCTCCATTCTCTGTGGACACTATTCTGGGGGAAAGGCCTGACCTCCAGGGCAGGAGGCCTGTGGACCCTAGCAGGGACAGGCTGAGGCCCCATGAGGAAGCGCCCTCTGCTGGCAGAGGCAGGCAGGCAGGCTGGGGCGTGTGCCCCCTCTTCCCACCCCCCCACCCCCCACTGGGCGGTGAGTCACTCCCTGCACTGCCCTGCCAAACTCAAAGCTCAGCATTCGGGAAGTATGTGCACCCTGTGTGGACTGGGGGTGGCAGGCAGAGACTGAGGAAGCGGCTGATGTGGCTGGCTCAGGCTGATTAGCTGTGTGTCCATTCCCACAGAATCTCGGCCATTTCCTCTCATGTCCCTAGCTTGTCAAGCCCAGTGAGTCAGCTTCTTTCTCCTGCCATAGGATCTACAGACAGGCCAGTGCTTCTCCACTCTCTGGGTGTCACAGCAGGTGGCCCTAGCTTCTGAGGTGATAAATGATGATGAGATCTCTCACCTCTATGGATTAGAAAACTTTCCTCAGTAGATTCTATAGTGTCTGGGAAGAAGTAGGGCAGGCATTATCATGTCCACTTTACAGATGAGGAAACTGAGGCTCAGACAGGCACAGTGACTCATCTAGTCCCACAGCTTCCATGCCTCATGCTCTTTCCACTCAACCACACTGCCCTCCTGAATTAGGACTTCCTCAAGTTGGTCCAGGAATGCCTTTGAAGCACTTATCCCCCTACCAGTTGATGAAACCCAAGGGTGGGGGCAGCTGCCAAGGGCAAAAGTTGGAGCTGGCACAGAAAGGATGTGAGAGCTTCTAATAGACGCCCAGCGGTCCCAGGCTTCCTGGCACTTTCCTCGCAGGATCCCTGGCCTAGGAACAAAATGAAGTCAGGCTCGAATCCTCTCCCTGACTAGGTGGGCCCTACAGCCTGTGGGAGCTTAGGAGGGGAGCTGAGCCTTACTTAGTGAGCTTCTACTTGACCCTGGCTCTTTAGGGGCAGACTCAGGAGAATGGGACTCTGAAATGGGCACCATCCTATGGACGGCACTGGTTCAGACAGACAGAAGTGGTTTGGTCTCAGGGAGACAATCAGCAGAAGGTGCTGGTGAGAGGCAGAGAAGCAGCCACAGAAAGGAGAAGCAGCCACTTCACAGGGAGGGGCCCTCTGCCAAGACCAAAGGGCCTGACTGGTGGCTTTTCCTCCCATGGGCATGTGATCTCTGCCCCCACGCCATCCAGGACCGCTCGTCTCCCTGCAGCTTTCCAAAACCTGCTGAGTGGGCAGAGAGGAGAGCCATTCTGGGGTCCCAGCACGCAAGCAGCAAGTGCTCACATGCACTTCCTCACCCACTGCCTTTTGTCAGAGGAAACATCACACGCCTTTTGACAGCTGAGAAGCTGCAAGAGGCTACCAGAGGCTCTCAGTCTGAACTTTGTGTGGCCTCCAGCTCGAGGGAAGACAAGCAGGATGACAGCAGGGTCTCCTGGGCTGGTGCAGAGGCTTGCTAACCAGCCCCCGAGGGGGGGTACCCTGAGGACTGGAAGGGGAGACGCCATTTATAGGAGTATAACTTCCATGGACACAGCCCTGCCTGTCCTGTCTGGGGAGATGTGAGAGGAAACCCCAAGGAGAAGGGATGCTGGGGTACTACAGCTGTAAAACAGGACTGGACTAAAGTCCCGAGGCCTGGGTTCTAGTCCCATTTCTGACACCAACCTGTTGAGTCACAAAAAGAAACTTCTCTTAGGGCATCACCTGTAAATTGTGGGATTAGACTTGATTTCTATGTTTCCAACAACTCCAATGCCCAAAAAATAACTGGAGAAGCTCCAGCCTCACTCCCACTGGTGGTTAGGAGCATGGATTCTAGAGTCAGACCACTTTGGCTCAATTATAAACTCTGCCACTTAGCAGCTGAGTTGAATTTGGGCAAGTATTCAACCTTTCCATACCTCATTTTCCTTACGCAGGAATAATGAGTTTATCTACTTCATAGGGTGAATATGAGAATCCATTGAGTTCACACATCAAAGGCAGCTGGAGAAGGGACTGGCGTTTGGTAGGTGGGTGCTCTCTGTGTATTAGCTGGTTATGCTGGTTGTAATCACAAGTTGGCCTGTCTGTACCTGCTGGAAACTACAGGTCAGAAATGTCATTCCAAATTGATAATTCACATCAGGGTGTCCATAGCTAGTTCCCCACATTCTCTCTCTCTAGTAGTATCCTTCTCATGGTGTGGCCTTAGAACGCTGATTAGGGTTCAATTCTGGAGCTTATCTCAGAGTGAGAGGATTCTGAGAGGCCGGACACCAGGTTATAGGGCAGGGAACAGAAGAAAAGGTTGGGTCTCCCACTTAGGCGCCTCCTTCCTGACTCTCAGGCAGCCTCCAAGGGCAAGGCTTCTTGGCACTGAAATTTCTCGGCTTCCTACCTGGCCTATTTGGAGCGTTTTAAGGAAGGAGCTGAGTCAGCACAGGTTACGCAGGCAGTAAATGGCAATCTGGACTCTTGTTGGGGACAGCAAACCCGGCAGATTTACGGCTGCTCTCTAAGCACTTGACCGAGGCCTTGTCTAGTGCGATGGATGGACAGAAAACTTGTTCTGTTGTGTTTGGATCCTAACTGAGTTGGGAACCCTCAGGTTGGGGCTCCTTTATAGCTAAAGGCTCAGCACAAGGAGTGACCTCCAGGAAGCAGCAGGGCCCAGGAGACCAGCAGCTTTCCACAAGACACAGCTGGCCAGAGGCGAACCAGACAGGCGCCCCCCCGCCCCGCCCCCGCCGCCACTTGATGAACTGTGCCCTCCCTTAGGGGAAGGGAGGACATTGTGATTGCCATGTGTGTACACATCTGTCTCCAACACTTCAGATTCTAAGCACCTCAAAGTGACTTCCTCTTGGTCACTTCTATTTCCTTCCCTCACACACTATAGGTACCTAACACATACCTGATGAAGTGAACTGAATACTCTCCCAGACCTCTCTCTCTTCTGAAGCATCTCTCACATCATGATGGAATGTGCTAGATACATATGCCTCAAAAGTGAATAAACGGCTGCTCCCCTCAAAAGGCCTGCTAGTCAGTTTCTCTAAGTGTGGAACCCAACAGAAAACCCAGCGACCTGGAGCACTGCCCAGAGGGTGGGAAAGCTTCTGTTCGGAGTCTCATACCGACTCTCCCTTGCTCTGAAGCCTGGCAGGGCCCAGGCGGAAGTGCGGTCTGCCTGGGAAAGGGCCACTGTCCGCTGTTCTTCATGTGCACCTTGGTATCAGTTCAGAGAAAGGCCAGGATCTGGGCGCAGGGGCTCTTAAATGGTGAATAGAGGGGGCAGGAAGGCCCTGTGCTGAGGTGGGGCTGAGAAAGAGGCAAAGAGTTGCCAAGAGAAGGGACTGCCTCCCTGCCCATGAGAGAGGAGGCTATGCCTGGTCCTCCAGCCTCATGACTGCCCTGGGGCCTTACTCCACAACCTCCTGGGGACTGTCCTCACTGTCTCACTCCCATGCATCAGAGCTGAACTGTCTACCTGCCTTCCTGTCTGGGCTAATGACACTTCTCTTTTCCCAGGAAGATATCCTGAAGTGAACCTTGTCTCCTGATTCTGAGGGTCAGGGCCCTGTGTCTTCATTCTGGACCTGTTCTCTCCCACATGTCCTTTCCTTTCCTTCTTCACTGCCACCTCCTAGTTCCCCTCCCCTGCTATGCAGCAGCCTTGGAGTGATTTTTCCTGCACCAAATGACTCTTCACGTTCACCACCAGCTTAATCACATCACTTTCTTTTTTTTTTTTTCCTTTTTGTCTTTTTTCGTGTCGGCAACGGATCGCAACCCTCAGTGTCGCACCTGCACCTCGCTCCGCCAGTGAGCGGGAACCGGTCTGTGTGTGGGATCCGAACCCTCGACGGGAGGGCCGCCGCGCTGCCAAGCGGCACACTGTAGCAGTGCGCCACCGGGCCGGCCCCAATCACATCACTTTCAACATGTCAACTCCACAGCTCAAAAGCCCCTCCTGATTATGGGATAAAACTCAGCCTGAGCATTTGGTGCTGGTCACAATCGACTTCGAGCTGGCCTTTCGGCTTCCTGCCTCAAAGTCTCCACCACCCATAGAAACCCCACCTAAGCTTCAAGGTGCAGCTCTAACCCCTCCTCCACCAGGGGCTCATGGGGCACCCTCTTCACGCTCACGGGTCACTTGGCCTGGACGGCCACTACTGTAGCTGTGTGCTGCGGCAGGCCCCCAGCTCCTGGGGGGCGAGGCTCAGGTTCGGACGCCAGCACTGGAAGGGCCGCGGAGAGGAATTGGTCCAACCTTCCCATTTAAAGATGAGAAAACTGGGGCGCAGAAACGGAAAGTGACGGCGAATTAAAGCCGGGCTGGATCCCCCACCCCGGGGCGCGGCTCCCCCCGCATGTCCCCGGGCCTCGCACCCTTTGGGTAGGCCATAAACAGTGGCAACGGACCGGAGCACCTGGGAGAGCCGGTGACGCCAGGAAGACTGAGCCGAGAAGGGGGAGGGCGGGGAAAGTGCGCCGGGGTCGCCGGCGCCCACAGGCCCAGAGAGCCCCCGCCGGGCCGGGCCCAGACTCACTTTGCTGAGAGCGTGTTGATGGAGCCGGTGACGAGCATGAGCCC